GAGTGACACCAGATGGAGATGAAGAGCTAGACATGAGTAGGTTCAAGTGTGGCCTTGTAGGCCATGCTAAGGAACTTGAATTTTATTCTAGTGCATAGAGAAACCATAAATAGGGTTTTAAGTGAAATAGTCATAAAATACGATGTAAATTTGAAGCAGATAAGGCTGGCCACCTGTGAGAATGGCTGGGAGGTAGCAAGTGTTGATCTCAAAATGCAAACCAGGTATTTCTTCAATAAAAAAGACTTATTTGAGTTGGTCCAGCATGGCTCAGTGGGTGCGCGTCAACCTATGAACCAGGAGATTAAGGCTCAATTCCTGGTCAGGGCACATGTCTGGGTTGCAGGCTCAATCCCCAGTGGGGGGTATGCAGGAGGCAGCTAATCAATGATTCTCTCTTATCATTGATGTTTCCCCTTCTCTCTCCCTCTCCCTTCTTCTGTGAAATCAATAAATACCTATTTTTTAAAAAAGGAGAAGTTCTTTTATACAGGAGATGAGGAAGTTGGGAGTGAGGTGGGGGAACTTCTATAATACAGAGTTCTTCAAGTAGGGCTTTCATGACCCATAGAAGGCCAAGAGCTCCTCACGCAGGCCCTCCTAAATTACCTTGGTTAAATCCTCTGTCGATAATTTTGACACAAGAGTAGAATTAGGGAAGCTGTTGAGTAGTCTAAGACAGAATTGATGTTGGTAAACTCAGCAATGGATGTGGGAGAAGTAAATATATTGGATTTAAAAATGAAAGGATGAGGGTCACAAAACGCATAAGGAAAGTCTTGTCTAAATTTAGAAGCTAGCTTAAAATTTAGACAAAAAACTTTCTGATATTAAAGTTATTGCCCTAATTGGTTTGGCTCAGTGGATGGAGCGTCGGCCTGGGAACTGAAGAGTCCCAGGTTTGATTATGGTCAAGGGCATGTACCTTGGTTGCGGGCACATCCCCAGCGGGAGGCGTACAGGAGGCAGCTGATGGATGTTTCTCTCTCATCGATGTTTCTAACTCTCTATCCCTCTCCCTTCCTCTCTGTAAAAAATCAATAAAATATGTTTAAAAAAACAAAAAATAAATAAAGTATTTAACAAATCTGATGAGCTTTGTTCAACAATAAATGAGAAGATTCACAGAAAATAGAGGCTATCTATCAAGAAGGAAAGCTAATAGGCAACATCCTGAATAGAACAACAAATTAATCCTAATGTGAATGGACTAGATTATTGACAGAAATGCAGTCTAAAAATTGGTAAGTAGCCCGGCCAGCATGGTTCAGTGGTTGAGCGTTTATCTATGAACCAGGAGGTCACAGTTCGATTCCTGGTCAGGGCATATGCCTGGGTTGCAGGGCTTTATCCCCCGTGTGGGACAAGCAGGAGGCAGCCAATCAATGATTCTTTCTCATCATTGCTGTTTCTATCTCTCTCTCCCTCTCCCTTCCTCTCTGAAATCAATAAAAATATTTTTAAAAGATTAAAATTGTTAAGTAAAACATTATTTTAATTAAATCTTTATTGTTCAGATTATTACATTTGTTCCTCTTTTCCCCCCGCCCATAACTCGCTCCACCCAGTTCCCACCCCACCCTCTGCCCTTACCCCCCGCTGTCCTCATCATCCAAAGGTGTGCAATTTTTGTCCAGTCTCTTCCCGCACCTCCCACACCCCTTTCTCCCC